GGGAGTCGGGCTGAGCACGGGGGAATTAAGGGTGGAAAAATACGTTATGTCTCGTTTCCCAGCCTGGAAGTTTTGGGATTTTTAATCCTAAACCCCAGTGATGGTAGCGTTTGTTTCACTGTACATACAGTCTAAGAAACTGTGCTACAACATTGAAATGACATACTTGTTATCTTTTTAACTCAAAAACTCCTTCAATTTCACTTCAGACAGCATGAGAACATTGAGATAAAGATGTGTAGTTTATTTACTGTTTTTGAAATGCCCAGCTGCAAAGAGGGAAGTAACAGTCACCCATATAGTGCCTCCAAACTTGGCTTAAAGAAAGAGAAAAGAAACTGACATATTAACAGAGAAACTCTGTGCGTATATGGTCTCATGAATAACTTGAGTTTTACAAGACCATGACCTCTAGTGTGGATGAGCTGCTCTTCTCCTTCCTCAGAGCAACAGCCATCAGCTGGCCTGAGCTAGGGCTGCCCGCGTTACCAACACTGGTGCTGGTGAAAGGCTGGAGCTGTGGGGAGATTCTGGGAAAAATAATACTTCACCTTTCCCAGGAGAGCTGGAAGAAAGACGTGTCACTCACCGGGTGCGTCCACCGCCCTTTGGGTTGTTTGGGATACATGGTTCTCCCAGCTTCATTAGTCCGGCAAGACTTTCTGCAAACACTTCAGTTGTCCTTGCCAATGGTTTAATAGAAACCACCTCATTCATGTTTTGGTAATCCACACTAATCTTTGTGTACAAGTGCTTGAGTAACTTTTTGCTGTGCTTCTGAACAGGGATTTAAGAGCTCTGCACTGAAGTGCTTTTATAATAAGGGCTTTCACAAAATATGCTGCAGAACGTATACCAGCAAGTGCTACTGGTAATTAAAAGTAAATGAGAGATTTGAAAGAAATGAGCAAAGTATACCAGGATGCATTATCTCTGGCTTTATCCTTCCATATTTGTTCCTTTACTTGCTAATTTGCAATCGGCCTTACAGTAACTCATGGAAGTGGGTGTTCTTCTTCATCAAAATTTTCTTATTTAAACATTGAAGTCCCTTTCATAATGTTATGTGGGTATTCCCCTGTGTCATTGCTGAAGTTAAAGTTGCGGTTCTTTCTAAGAAGGTACTGACACTGGTTTTCCAGTGGAAGCTACAGATTTTTAGTAGGGCTTTAGGCACTTACAAAACTGACGAGTAAGGATGTTTAAAATAAATACTCGATTTAAAAAAAACAAAGTTGAGTTTAGAGGTTTGTGGTTACTTAAATGGTTGTGGTCATGATTGGTTGAGGGAATGTAAATGAACTTCGAAATGCTCATGAGCAGTGTTTTGTATACTTGAGATTAAGACCATGTCTGTGTCTATTTTTTTTTCTTGCTTCCCAATGCTTATTCCATTAAAGTTATAAATTTCCTGTATAATTCATTGAGATTAGGCAGTGAAAATAACTTCTTCTCATAAACGATACTGATGATTACATTGCAGCAGCACTCTGAAGAGTGGTCAGAGGCAAGTATTGTACTGCTGCTGGCTTCCTCTCTCTTCAAACTTAGATAAATCAGCCTTTGTTCTCTTTGGTAAAGTGAAGTCAAAAGTTTGGGCCTATGCTGCTGCTGCTGGAATTGTTGTGGGGTCATGTAAGAAAAGAGGATTTATTAGCACCAGGATAAATTAATTGTGACCAACAGGAGGACAGAAAGCACTGCAAACAATGTTTTGTACTCACAAAAGGGAAAACCCTAAAGGTTAATTCTGACTTTGTTCACAAATTAGGCACACTTGGTTAGGCTTTTTTTGCTCACCGTAACTTGGGCCTCCAACAGCTACTGAACTACCTGACCTTTCAAATGGGATTTATTGGAGTGTGTAACACCTCCGGGAGTGCTCCTTGGTAGTTATGATTTTTTCAGGGTCATTTTGCCATTGGGTTTCCTTGATAAAACCTTCTTTCTAATTGAGTGGCACACAGGCTGCGGCCTTTTCTGGTTTTGGCCATAATACATATTAACAACTCTTGTGGAAAGGGATTTCCTTACCCCCTTTGGAGTACATCGGCCTCAGAGGTGAGTAGAAAGGAACCTGCAGAGTTGCCATATGATTTCCAAGTTCATCCTTAGCATCTTGAGTCTCTTTCCAGAGAGCAGCCCTTTCATGCTGTGTCACTTAGATTAGGATTGAGCCCAGGGTATGTTGTAATACTATTCAATATTCTCGAAGGAAAACTGCTGCAAAACCCTTATGTATTCGGAATGAATGTGCCCTTTGTAGATCAGCAGTCACACGAGGAGAAAGTTGGCCCTCTTGCACAGAACAAAGGCTGCTGTGCCTACGTTACGCCTGGTAGTAGCCCTACTTGGAGGTGTTTACTTAATTCTGTGTAATGTTAAATATTTACCTCTCCATTTAATTTTCTGTTTTCTTCTCTTTTAGCATATAGGCACAGATTCCGTTAACTGCTCACCTGAAAAATGCTATCAGGGAGAAATGTTTCTTTACTGGGCCTCCTAGCTACTGCTGCTGTGGAATCTGAGATCTGCTATTGACATTGTTTGTTAAACATGAGTTTTCTGTATGGAAATTGAATTAGCTTTTGATGTGGAGTTACTTCCCTATTTATTGACTGACGCTGAGAATGTAAAGTGGCTTAATGACTAATCTGAAGTCTGCAGGCAGAGGGCTGAGATCATGTGCTTGCCTCAAGTAGGGTTTCTTTGTTCAGTGCAATTCCTTTGGGGCATGCAGAATTTGGATTCTGCCTCCCCTTTGTACATACTGTACAATGCTGTGCTCTCTGTTTCAGACCCTCCTCCTTCATCTTAAAGCCATGCTTCCTTCCAGCATATGTCTTCTCATCTCTGCGTGATGAGTTACTAATTGGGACCTTGCTGCCTAATGAGTATGATCCGTGACACTTTCTGTTCTTTCTCACCCCCTCCTCCCTTTCCTTCTTCTCTTACTGCCTTACAAATAGGTGTGTTAGTTTGTGACCCTGGTATCTGAGTAAATTGTCTAGTTATTCTGTTCTTTTTGCCTTCTGTCAGTATGTTTGTTTATAACAACAACAATCGTAAAAAATAAATATTTTTACCTTGAAAAGTAAATATTTACTATGTGAACAGCTGTGTACTCGGATTTAGGGATGGAAAGTGGAAAATGCATTTCCTTAATAGTGCTTCGCTAGCTCCTTTTGTTTCAAAGGTGTATGCGTTACCTGTATTTATAGATCAGACAGCACCTGAGTCAGAACTACAGGTATAACAGTAATTTGCTGAGCACAGTATACGTATGCTCAGATAATAAGATCTCCTTGGAAGAGAGCTGCGTGGGAGAAGTGGCTGCTTGAAACCAAGAGCAGAATGAATGTGGTGGGTGTGAACTTGCCCTGTTCTCTCTAGTGGCAGAAGAGTTGGTTGGAGAGGTTTAGTGGGCTCAGGTTGAAAGGTTTCTTTTGCTGAGGGGTCAGGAAACTGTTACAGGGGAAAAGCTCTTACTAGAGCACCTTTGGGGCAACCTGTGGAGCAAAAAGTCAAGTATTATAAAACCGAGTAAGACTGAAAAGGTTAGTATCTGTGGAAGAGGCAGGAACTAGGTAGGGGTTGATATCACTAGATTTTCTGAGTTGTTTTGCAAGTCTCCTGATCTGTGAAAAGTGGGGCATGTGGCATCATTGTAGCTTTTCAAGACCTTGCTAAATTCTGTATGACAATAATAATAATAATGATAATAGAGAACTAGAATCAAATGGTAGTGATGTTTTAATGTGCCTGAGGATAATGAAGTTTGACAGTGGCTCCATGACTTTACTGATTTGTGGCATGAGCAGAGCAGTCCCTAGCTCAGCTCATCTATCTGGCAGCACTTGGAATTAGAATTGGCATTCAGGCCTTTGGGTCTGAAAAATATGTTTTGACCACTGAAATAAACCATTCTTAGGATCTTTTAGTTTTGGTTTTGGAAAGCCATAAAGTGTCCAGAGAGCTTGGGAAGTGGAAGGATGTGTGTGTTTGTTTTTTTTTTTTCCCTGCTAGTAAACTGCTTTCTTGCTGTTTTAGTGGGATACCGAGAGTATTTTATTTCCCATTTTTAATTTTATCATGGTAAGCATCCTTTCCACTAACATATCAGCTTAGTTTTAGGGTTTATCACTTCTGCAGATATGCAGGCGTCTGGAATGTTTGTTGTGGAGGGTGCTTGCAAGGCCAAATGCTTATAGCTGCAGGATTTTTCTTATGTTATGGCTATCTAATTCTTGTAATCTGGTTGTTTCCCTTCCCACACAAACAAATGTTTGACTTCAGGGAAACACCCTAGGGTTTCAAGGAAAGAGCATCCCCAGACCTGTTCAATGCGGTAAATCCGGGCAGCCTCAGCCCTGTAAAATATGTCACTTTTTGCTGCGAGGGCTAAGCCGATCATATGAGGAACGGCTTGTTTTCCCCTGCTATTGAAGAGCAGGGCTCTGGGGACACAAGCTTACCCTTCTCTGTTAGTAACCATCCCTAGCCAAAACCCTGAGGCAGGGATGAGGTTGAATTTCTTGTGCTGGGCTAGGGTCCAGCTGCTTCCTGTTGCTAATGGCCCATGGAGACCCAGATGAGGGGCAGGGGGGGAATGGGCAGCACAGCTGTTTGCTGTGGCTTGGCTGTTCCCACTTATTGAGCAGTGCATTAATCTGTCAGTATTTGCTCTAATGGCTCGGGCTGTGATCAGGGGAGGTGAGCTGACGACGTTCCAGCTTCAGTCTTGAGTGACAGGCACACCAATCTCAGGAGAGCGGGACAGACAACTGCTGAGTTTGGTGGTGCTTTACACTGCTGTAGCAAGATTTCCTTCATTTTAACATCTTTGCGGTTGCTGTGTCCAAAGTGGAAATGACATGGAAGGGATGCTGGCATGCATGCATCAGCAGTGGCATGGAATCTTGGTGGCATGAGATGCTATTGCACACCCTGGACTGTCCCAGGCTATGCTGCCACTGTGGTGGGGCACCAGTGTTTTGGCATGGCACTGTGCTGAAAATTTGGTCCTGTCCAGCCAGAGCTCTTGTTTAGGAGAGAAGTATATTTTTATTTGCTTAAAGCAGTGAAACTCTTGAGGGCACCCTTGCTGAAATTGTGTGAGAAGGGCCTGATCGCCACTGTCTGGTGTGCAGCACCAGTGCAGCTGGTTGTCCTTGTGGTTTTGCTCCCAAACTAGTTAATAATCAACAGGTATTGCATTTCCCCGTTCCCTGGGAAACCTGAACGTGGTCATGGCAAGACAGCTGCTATAGCATTCCCATGCTTGCAGTCCATCAGGGTCCCGTACAGACTTGGTCATGAGAAGAGCTGCTCCAGTTAATGGTTCCCTCTGAGCAGCGCATCAATGCTGGCTGGCTGCTTCCTGTGAGAATGAAGACAGAGGAAAAGTCCTGCTTTATCAGGGAGTCTCTGGTTGCTGTAAAATGAGAAAAGACCAGCACCTGCGTCTTCCTTAGAGTGCAGTTGGTAAGGTTTTTTGTCTTCAGGTTGAAGAGACTGCGTATATTCATGCCATTTGCTTTCTGAATCAATGTAATACAATTTTAAAATAATTTAGCTGTTGTAACTACTGCTAATGGCGCGTAGCAACGGCTTTGCTGTGTTTCTGGTGAGCTTGGTGTGGCACTGAATTTTTTGATGGGGGTCCAGACCTTTCTGCTGGATCTGGACACACATGCTTTTTATGTTACTACTTTCTGCACTGCCAGGTGTTACACAAACTCTGTGTGCTTTGCCTAGCAGTTCAGTCTGGCCATCGCAAGTTTAGATTAGTTGTGGTTTTAATACTGACAGTTCAGTATGACATGACTGTTCAGTGCAAGCCATTTGACAAGTCCATGGGTTTGCTGTCTTCCAGGTTTCTTCTTAGGAGCAATTGTTCTACATGTGAGCTGTCAAAAATGATCTTTAATGACTTGAAAATCATGACGTAAAATATGAAAGTGGTTTTTAAAAGGAGGATTACGATGCAGGGAGCTAAGTAGGGAATAATAATAGAAGTAGTAATAATAAAAGAACCCCAAAACAGATCAGGTAAAAACAATGCAGAGGACAGCTTAAGGCTATTCTAAGAAACTTTGTGTAGCAGCCTGTGTATGTATTTTGGACACTAGCATTGCAAAGTAGTGGAAGAAGAGAGAGACCAGCCCCAGAAATTTCTCAAATTCTAAGAGAAATAGAAAAGAGAATAGAAAGAACTGTATTTGTGCACTCAGTTACATAGAACATATACATCCTTGGCATAGTTATGGGTGCCTGACTCAGCTGTGTGGCACAGTATTCAGGTTTGCTTTTTTCCATGCTCATGTTAGAATTAGACTTCACGGACTGAATAGGGTAGAGGCAATATTCCCTGGGCAGAGGTTGTCTTCCTCATTCCTCTGCCAGGAAATTCATGTGAGAGGCAGGTTTGTTGCAGCTGTTCAGATGTGATACTTCTCTCTCTGTGTGTTTAATGCCCTTAGCACCATTTAAGGGATTACGTTTTTGAAAGGCAAATGTATTCAGACAGTTATAGTCTCGCAGATGGCTCTGTCTTGTCCTCCAGTTGGCAAGCAGCCTAGGAAAAGGTATCAAAATAATTTTTAATATAGTAAACTGAGTGATGCCTTGAGAGAAATGCTCTCCAATGTTTGTACAGGCAATAAAAAAGCCTCAGTAATAAACATTTTGTGAAATAACAGCAGTAGATCAAAGTGACGTTTAAGTGATGCTCATGAGTATCATTTAATCACCAGCTAACTACTAAAGGTCTGCTGCTGCAGAACATAGGAGTTCCTGTGTTGCTATGTCTTGCTGTGGCTGTCTTGCTTAAGGCATTGACCATCATTGAAGTTTGTGATTTCTGTGCGTGTCTGTGGATGCTGGATGCTTAGATGCTGGTTGTGAACCTATTTATTTCAAGTACTGAACTTTGTTCTTAATTTTGTTCATAGAAAGTCAGCTGTTTCCAGCTTCCAGGATATGGCAACGCTATTGTTTAACTTCCTTGTGACTCCTTTGTGGAGTTAAATCAGATAAATTGCTTTCTTGCAAAGCTGGATGCGTCTTCACAGATGAAACTCTTGAACTATTGTTGTATATATAGACAACGAGTGGAACACTGTAAATCCTGATACATGTATTTAGAACTTAGAGGTAAAACAGGATAGTTTGGGTTGGAGGGCACCTCAGGAGGTCTCTCATCCAACTCCCTGGTCAAAGCAGGGCTGACTGAAGTTGTACCAGGTTGCTCAGAGCTTTATCCTGTTGGGCCTAGAAAACCTTCAAGGACTGTATGCCCTCTCTGGGCAGCCTGCTCCACTGCTTGTCTGGCATCAG